AGAATTACGTGTGCAAAAAGGGCAATTTACATCATCGATTACGTTAGTATAATATTAAATTTAAACAATTTACATAACAGTGTTAATTATCATAATTTATTATCCCTACAGATCTAAATTTCAAATGCACCCAGCCGTAAGTGACTTATTACCCAATACAACGAACATCGTTTACTGCAAAATCTGTTGGGATCAGTAAGCTATTAACAATACATTTTATTATTGAATATTTATTTATTATATTCTTGTTAAATATACGTCATATAATTAGAAATGAAACGATTCTCGAGGATTGGTATTTATTTGGTCAAGTGCATGGTCAAAATAAACGAGAATTAATTAATACGAGTACTTTCAAGGCCACGTTTACAGAACCACATATCGTATTTAACAAAAAAGAATTAATCATGCACATCGATATGTCTCCATGTGGAAACAAATTTCGTCAAACGGGTAAATTATAAAATTCTGTCATTTTTCTAATAATTTTATTGTACTTAAAACAAATTGACAATAATTTAATAATTCATTACTGTTAGACGAAATTCTGATAACAAATAAATCAGGCTTGGATTTGAACGTTCAAATAACGATCAAACCTCCATTCTATATTATAACCGAAGCAGAAAATCTTATAGAGAAAATGAAGATTTTATTGGCCGATCGAAATACTATGACAATTCATGTTAAATTTGCACCGGATTTGGAAACAGATAATCTTTATTCAAAAAGTTATCGTACCGCACTTACCTTCGAATACGACGAATATCCCATTAAGGTGACTTAAATTTAAAAAGATAATATATAGCCACGAACAAAGAAATAAATTTCATGTATTGAATTCGATCTATTTTAGGATAAAATTAAATGTAAAGGATCTGTTAATTATCCAAATCTTACGTTGAGTTCACACGAGGTCAAGATGTCTTGTGAAATAGGTTGCAGTGAAGAATATATTTTAACATTAACAAACAATGGTCTTATACCAGTTAAATATAAATTTGTCTGGCTCGAAGAAACAATTAAAATCATACGGGATACTGAGGTTAGTTATTGGCAAAGTATATGATAATTCTAATATTAATTATTATCAAATAACAACGAAATTATTTATAGAAATCTACAAAACCTCCAAGTACCACTGAAACAATTTCAAAATTCAAATCAACATTTTGGCAAAGTGACAATCGCCTGAACAATCAAATAATCGGCGCTGGTGATGCCCCATCAGACTCCCTATCAACACCCATGAACTGTAAGCTGTAACAAATATAATTTTTTTTCTCAATATTACATTTATCCTGTTGTAATACAAAAACATTTGAATTTAATTAGCACCTGTATCGAACCAAACACAGTCTGAAAGAACAAATATAAATTCCGAATTCGAAAAAATCCAAAACCAATCTTCAAAGTTAGAAGAAGAATCAGATCTTATATTTGAGATCAAAAAATTATTAATGAGTATGATCGATATGCCTACAACTGATGAGTCTGATATCGACGTTTTAGAAGTAATCGGTAGCGAGCCTCGTTTAATTGAACCCATCAATGAGGTATTTCTTTCTTTTTGATTATTATCAGATATTCAGTTTAAAAAAATCTTTTAAATATCCACACTCGTAGACAACTTGTTTGCTTCAAGACCACGATTAATGACTTTTTTAATTAAGCGTAGCTCATCATCGTACGGCACTATGTAATAACGAGCTTCACGATGTGAAAGTTTGGTAACTAAGTATTGCACATACAGCCCCTCTCTCTCACACACTCACATACATATATATATGAATACTTGTATATATATATATATATATATATATATATATATGTATTAGAAAATCCATAGATAGATATAGTAGAGACGAAACACGACGGACAATTTGAAACAGTGTGAAACTAATTTCAACCTGCAGATACTTGACATAGTACAGAACGAAGGCATCGTACTTCCCTATACATCGCAAAACATACACTTCGGCTTTCACGGGTTCGAACGCATTCGAGTTGAAGTTATCGCTGCTTGCAAGATCTTTCGTGGACCAACCGAGATGATCCAAGTAAACGCAAGTGCTGATGCTGTACGCTATTCAATAGACAAACGGGTTATAGATTTAGGTCAACAGGTAAATCGATTTACTTTTTGGGTCGAGTCTTCGAACTTCGTTTTTGTGTGTTTTCTATCTTTCTTTTTTCATTTTTTTTCTATTTCTTTTTTATCCAATAGCTATTCTGTGAATCCTGCAACTCGAATTTCAATTTAACCAACGACTGTAGAATTGCTTTTACTTACACAATAATAAGTACTTCCTTGTCGGAAAATGATGATGGTACCGATTCAAATCGATTAACGATCGAACCACATAAAGGTATAGTTGAACCGAAATCTTCAATAAAGATTACATTGAACTATCGACCAACCTATCTTGGACCATTCAATGTTGAATTTCGATTAAAGGTAAAATCAATAGGTCTTTTTAAATAACGATTCATGTTAAATGCCATCATCCTAACTGTTTCCAGATAGCTCACTTGGTACCTCTTATTATGTCTGTTACGGGAGTGGGTATTTACCCACAAGTATATCTCCATTTACCCCAAATTATTAATATTGATAAATGTCCTTTGGAGTTAAGCTATCAGGCACTTAGGTCACTTTCAACGGAATTTATTATGGAAGTAAACTATCTTTTACATTTTTATAATTTATGTGCATGTGTGTATGAAGTTATGCAATTATTCAAAGTTATTATCTTTATGCTAGAAAGATAATGTATCTCCTAAAAATAGTGAAGATATTTTAATTGACGATTGGATCATGGTGTCAATCAATGAAACTCTTCCAAGTATAGTAGACATAAACATGGCGTTGGAAAGAATTCTAGCAAGTCAGTTCATAGAAAAGAATCTTCACGTTTTATCTAAACACAATGCAGCTGGCCTAAAATCAGCAATCCCACAAATGTTTTCTTTACAGTATATCATTGGTATTATCATCTAATATTCTTACTAATAGTTTATTCAAGAACAGATCCATGGAAATAATTTTTCTTAAACACTTTCTGTTTGAAAGACTTAGGAAATGTGGTTATTGGTCTTACTGCACATTACTCTGCAATGCTGAGTAATTATGGTCCAATGATTGCTGAAGTGAAAATGAAAAAATTAGAAAATAAAGATACACTGAGTAACTCTGACATTATAATAGAATTTAAAAAGAATGTTAGATTACCAGTTGGTCATAATATTCTTTTACATGTAATATGTAGTCCTACTTTAGCAAAATATACCGAAAGAAAAACAACATTAAAACATACTATTTATCTTGAGGTAAAATAAAAATTGAATGGATGTCTGAAAGAAAGTTCTATGTTACATTTTTAGTTCTATATGGTGTACTTTAGGACAAGGCTTCTTAAACTTTTCCACTTGGTGACTCTTTTATCCCAATAAATATTTTCGTAATCCTCTGTGGGTATAGATTATATTATTACCACAAACTTATATACATACTGTACTTATAGTGTTGTTAAATTGATTTCACCAAGTCTAAGTATTTTATAGTTTTATTCAAATTTTTGTAACCTTGTATGAAATCAAAACCCACACTTTAAGAAGCTCTGTTTTAAAGTATACCATGGTATACCATGAACTTCCCTAATTTCAAATTTTTATGTACTGAAAGAAAGAGTTATGTTGTATTAGCAATAATTTCATTTGTCGTAATTTTTTCTGATTTTCTTATGATATTTGTGGAAAATAACATAGGCCCTTATTTCAGATACTCATTACAATCTTTGAATTTATTATCCCCTATTATCCTTTTTTTAAATATTATTAAAATAATCTAATATTTTAGGTAACTCATGGTTGTAAAATTCCAATAATTATCCAAGGAATCGTAACTTATCCTTACATCACCGTAGATAAAAAACAATTAGATTTCAACAAAGTTATCATTGGCGAATGTTCGATGATGCATCTTACAATAAAAAATGAGTAAAAATAGAAAATAAAAAGAGTCAAAAATTGGAAATAATTGAACTATTCGTTTATAGGAGTTTGATCGATTGCGATTGGAACATAGAAATAGTAATGAAAAAGAAAAAGCAGAATTATTGTCCGTTCTTGGTATATCAAGAGTATGACACTCTTCCGCCAGGTCATTCGAGTACCATCAAAGTTTATTTCAAACCACGTGAACCGGTTGGTAGTCCACTCAATCGATCCAATTTGAACYCCACACACATTTAATATTAATAATTAATAATTAATAACACTAACAGTGCTACGTAAACGCTATATTAAATATCATCGTTAAAATGGGATTGGAATTTCAAAAGATAAATTTAATGGGTCATGGAATTGAACGTAAATTAAATCTAAGTGAAACTTTTATCCAATTTTTACCAACTGTACCTCACTTGGATGTTCAAGAACATGAATTTACGATTGAAAATAATTCCGAATATCCTATTGAATTTTTTTGGCATCATCTGGATGAGTTAGAATTTATTTTCGTTATCTAACTTTCTAATTTTTAAATGTTATTTTTAGTTAGATGTTAATAATCAAATTAAATTTTTAATGTTTAGTCAATTCTTACACGAAGATCGCATTGCTAAGATACTTACTCGTTATTACAATGTCGAGGAAATCCTCTTGCCACCTAGGAAACTTACTGAAGGCATCCCACCTTTATTAATTGAATTCTATAATGAGTTGATCAGTGAGATAACCAAAGAACAAACATTTGATGAGATTAGTGACGTAGAAGAAGAAGGTTAATTAAAAATATATTAATACTTGTATGTATAATAATGATATTTTTTCATGAATAATTTTTAATAGGTGAATTAAATAAAGAAATCGACTTTTCGATCACGAACAAGAAAGAAGAACTTAAATCTACAGTACGAAATTTAAAAATGAAACGAAAAAGATCTCATTTGAAAAGAAAAAAATCATTAACGGATTCTGTTACTTCGTTAAATACAAAAATGGATCATGCTTCGATAAGTGATCTTGATCCTTACAAAGAATCATTCCTATTGGCTACAAGTGATCCTACACAAATTGAACAATTACTTCTAGGTAAAAAACAATATGTAATATAATAGAATTTAATTTAATTTAATTATTTATTGGGTTTCAAGATCACATCAATCGTTTGCAAGATGATCCTAATTTTCAAGAAATTATGAAAGATCCAGTGAAGTGTTTGTTTGATCAACTCGAAGTTGAATCAAAGTTGACGGAAAAGTTGGAAGAATCGGTGAAACCATTGAAGAAAGTTTGCATAATATTTCACGGTGCACCTTTCACTGGTATGTATATATATTATATATTAAATGTATTTGGTTTGATGGTTTTGTGTAATTGTGTGTGTATACGAATATAAATGACTGTTTGAGAAATTTAGCGGCTAAACGAAGTAACACGAAAACTTAGGAACTTTAAATTTGTACGGTACTTATGTATAACTGTGTGATCATAATTTTCTAGCTTACCAGGAAACAGCATGCAGAAGTGCCAGAGCATTAGAAATTCCCGTGCTTTCTATAGACACAGCTATTTTAGAAATAGCAGCTTTTGGCAAGAGCGAATGTTCGGTCAAACTAAGACAAGCTATCAATGAAATTTATCAGGATTATACGACAAAATTTTCGGAACACAGGTTAGTGTAAATATTATTGGTAATACATAATTTAAGTTTATTTATAAAAATAATACGAAAATTATTATAATAAGTACAATCATTTAAAAATAATATAAAAGTTGAAATAGAAATGGTATTAAATAGAAATTAAAATTATTTTGAAATAATTTTGAAAATTTCATGAACAAATATAATATCAAATAATTTAAAAATTATTTTAACATAATTTTTGATTCCTTTATTCGATGATAGCAATATTTTTATAGAAATAATTTTCTATAATAAATCAAATTACTATATGATATGGAAAATTCATTTTTTCTTTTATCTTTTCACTTAAAAGAATTAAAATTCTTGTTGAAAAATTGGAAACATCGAGAACGGAAACAACATATACGCAAAAGTCACGATCTTCTCGTGGGAAAAGTAGAACACCAAGAACGGTGGAAACATCGAAATCTGGAAAATGTGATGAAGATTTAAAAGACGAGGAAAGATATTTGCGTTGGTTTGATATGCCCGAACCTTTAGAATCGTACAAAAAATTATTACAAACCGAAGAAACATTGATTTCGATGGATATTTTCAGTCAATACGAACACAAACTTCAAGCTATTAAATTACTGAAATTAATTCTTCCAGCACATATAATCGCTGAATCCGTTAAGGATAAAATAAATTTTCAAGAAAGTGAAAAAAGTAGTAAAAAGAAACAAGAAGAAAGAGAAAGTCCTTTTCTCAATATCGATACAAATTTATTATCCGAAGTATTAAAAGAAAGGTAACTTTGTGTTAATTTTTTCAATACTAAAAACACGTTTCTTTAGTAATATCAAAAATAAATTTTAAAATGAAATTCTATAGAATTTATTTTGTTATTTTAACACTGAAAGGATTAAACACATTTTTCTTTATAAACGTAATATTTGTTTTTTCTTTTAGATTATCAGAAGAAGATTGCGAAAGAGGTTTCGTTTTGCAAACTCTCCAAAATGTTTTCATTTCTGACGAAGTCAAAACTTTGAATATTTTATTGGATATCATAGGGAACATAGAATTTTTCCTTTTTATAACTTTTTATAATTCCGTAAATATTTGTAATTTGAAAATTGACGAGTTGAAACGATTAAAATGTATGTTCTCTTATTTCATATTTTCTAAAAAAAAGTATTCCTAAAATATGAAACTGTTTCTTTTTTTGTATAAAGCTGAGAAAATAGCAAAAAATACCGCGAAGAAAATTCAAGAAATCGATGAAATGTCATTGTCCGATTACGATCAAATTTCGGAGGAAGATAAAAATATATATCTCCAAGCAGTTTTGCCAATAAAAAGACAAGAAGCATACTTGAGAAGAGCTCAATTATCTCAAAAATTGAACGAGTTAAAAAGAAAAAAAGTTATAGCTCATTTTTCTTTTATTTACTTTAGTAAACTGAATTTAAACAAATAGTACATTGTATTTTGCAGGATGAAAAACGTATGAGTTCCATCGAATCAAATTTTAAGAAGAAAAAAGCAAAACTAACAATTACCAAAAGTAAACTTACAGTTTCGACTAATCGAGACGAATTAGAATCAAAAACACTTTCTAGTAAGAGAGAAATTGCTCGTAAAAAAGCTCTTACTAGTCCCAAACCAGGTAATTCTTAATTCATTAATTCATTCATTTTCATAATTAAAATTGTTCATATATTTCATTTAAATTCCATAGAAAAAGAAATGTTAGATATTATTAACGTTATGGAAGAATATCAAAACAATCTAGAAGCTATAGAAAATGTAATTACAAAGTTGTATTCCACTCAGAGAAACCTTGTGAGTATTTTTTTATACATAAAAAAATTGGACATTCACCACTTTGTTTTAAATATTCATTTAACGTTCAGAAAACAGAAAATAACGTAGCAAAAACGGACAAGTTAAAAGAAAAATTGGACACATCTAGAGAGGTACATTTTATTCAAATAATGAACTAAATTTTTTAATGAGGAAAAAGTTTTTAAATGATTTTCAAATTTAGTTATTCTGTTTCGTAATTTTGATTAAACTTATAGTTAAGTTTGTTTTACAATCTGAACAATATTTTAAATCAATAAAAATCTTCTAACCCACCCTATACAGAAATAAATAATATTTTCACGATATTAACAACAATTTCTAGAAACTAGGTCATTTTTACATATGGTATATTCATGCAAGTGATCCTTGGAACGATAAAATGAACAATGTTGTAGTTCATCAAATCAAACAAAATAATTTGATTGAAAATGCTTTACGTAAGTAAAAATAATGTATCTAAAAAGTCATTCATAATTATTATATTAAATAGTACAGAAATATAATTTAATTACATTCTGTATCAACAGGGAGAATAGTTACCGAAAAGTTACATTCAGAACCAACAATTTATTCTATTCTCGCTCATAAAGGTTTCGAAGTACCAAGAGTGATTGAAAAAAAATCTGGTAATAATTTTCACTTAATCATTGGCTAGACGACACTTAAATCATTCATTTAATTGTCCGCGTGAAAATAAGAATATATAATCAAGGAAATTACAAAGACTATTCTTTTCCTGATTAGATACGTTTCAGTTGGTCTCGATTGCGACTTTACACGAAAAGCCACCAACCGAATCATTTTCTAGTCACGCGATGAAGGATCCTGTTCAATCAACAACAACAAATATCCAAATCCAAAATCAAACTAAAAGACGAAAGAAAAGTAAAACAAAAACTTCTAAAATTAATATCGAAGAAAGTACAACAAAAATGTCGACGGAAAGTGAACTTTTAAATTTAAAATCGAGCAATATCAATTTATATCAGGAAGAAATACTCAAGCCTCGATTAATTTTACAGTCTAACGAAAAGAAACAATTCAAGCTAAGATATCATCCATTGGAAATAGGAGATCATAAAGAAATTTATACTTTTTCGATAGTTGATAATCCTAACACCACATATCGTATCGAAGTTAATGGAATTGCGACTGTTCCTAAAATTGACATGAATCCTCGCATCATTTTTCCAAAAGTAAAGATACAAATTACAAATTTTTTACTTACTTACACAGATTTGATAAAAATTTGTTAAGTGTGTCAAAAGTTTATAAGTGATTTTAAAAGTTAATAATTTTTCTGAGAGAGCAATTTTTTTGAAATGAAACTTATTTAACGACGATAACGATAACATTTTATGAAACAACACGAAGAGAGAAAAAGCATAAAGTTTTTCAAGACAAGACTATAAATCAATTAATATACCTACTAAAATAATAATAATATAAAATCCATTTGTTTAAAAATTATATATACTTCGAATATTAAATTAAATTAATTCTGATATTTAAATTAAATGAAAATTTCCAACTCAAAAGTTCAAGAACGTTAAAACAAATGTATTTTAGTTAATTCAATCCAAAATATTAATAGAGTACAATACTGTGTTAGATTTACCTTAATTGCTTGATAATTAATCGAAGAAAATGTATATTGTAGTCTAAAAACACTGAATATAAATTCGACGAATATTATTTTCATTATATATATATTTCCTTATTTGGAAAATCATATAAACAACATTCAATGAAAGAATTTTCATAGAAGACAATCCACCAGTCTGAAGGTGAATTTCGAGGAGAACGGTGCTCCGAACATATACTCAGTGCTTCTAAATAGCAATACACATTTTTTCGATTAATTAACAATCAATTAAGGTAAATAGAACACAGTACTGTACTCTACTAGTATCTTAGATTGTTTAAACTAAAATATATTTGTTTTAACGTTCCTGGTCAGTGATGTCTTCAACTTGAAAATGTTTATCTAATAAAATATGTATATATATGAATTGATTATTTTCCACATAACAATTATAGACAGATTCACTTCTATTATGCGTAGATGTCACATATATTCTTTTTTTTAAGATTATGAAAGGTTGTCTAGATTTGTAATTTTTCATTGTAATTGATTTTTCAAAAAATATCAAACCTGACAGATCTGTAAAAAATCAACCTCAGTAATCAATCTTTAAAATCACTTAAAAACTTTTACTCCCAATACCTGTACATCTTCATTTATCTCCGTAAATAATTAAATTTATTTATTTTTAAAGATAATGGAGAAGAAAATAGATGAAACGAACGAACCTTCATTTATCTTGGATAATAGTATCTTTGATTTTGGATCTTTGGTCTTACACAAAAAAGATAAAAGGTTTATTACAAATTAATCTTTTACTATGATTTTATTTTATCTAAGTAATTTGATTTTTATGATTTTTCTTGGTAGAGCACATCGTCGTACAGTGGAATTTACTTTAAAAAATTTAACACCGATAGAAGCAGAAGTATCATTACATTTCAAGGATCACAATTTGAATGGATTTAACGTTCAACCAGAAAAACTAATTATTCCTGTACTTTACACACATTTCTATATTCTAAAATTCAGATATAATTTTTTAATAAAAAATCTATCAAATTTAGGCCCATGAAAATAAAAAGTTGATTGTATCAGCTGGTGTTACAAAACTTGGTCCACATTATAACAAATTATATATCTGTATAAAAAATAATCCACACGTCGAAATAATTGAAGTAAATTATTATTTTTGTTAACATTAAAAAATATCTCATATAGATACTTATTTCTTTAATTTGTTTTTTTTTTAATTTAGCTTCGATGTTATGGCATCAAATTAGAAGTTGAATTGGATGAAAAACAATTATCTTTTGGACGTATACTTCTCTACAGGAAGGAAAATCGTTTTAATAAAATTCTAAATAAATCTACAGTACCAATTTTTTGGTATTTTGAATGCAAAGAACCTTTCGATGAACAAATAACGTTTACCCCAAAAGAAGGTATTTTATTACCTTTAAAAGAACAAAGAATCGAATTTTCCTACAATGCTAGTACAGTAAGCATTTATGTTTCATTAAGATTATATTCTCAATTATTTTTTATTTAATACTCATATATTTTGACTGAAAATAAACAATTATAGATAGGTGTAATAGAAAATGAAATCAATTTTCAAGTATTCTTGAACGAAGACGACGAAGACCCTGTTCATAGTGAAATTATGACAATTTCTGCTGAAACTTATGATGTACTGATTGACATCAATTATGCTAATCCAATAGATTTTAAAGTGGTCAAAGTCGATCATCCTGTAACTGCATGTTTCACTATAAAAAATCGTGGAAATTACGAAGTTAAATACGTGTAAGTAAAATACAATTTTATTATAAAAAAAAAAATATGCTAGAAATATTATATTTAAAAAAAAAATTTATTTGAAATAATCTTCAGTATAAAATTCGACGAAAATGTTAAACTGACCGAGAACGTAGCAAGACCGACAAACGTGAAAAAAAATTTAGAAATTGATCCAACTTCTGGTTCGATACAAGCACAAAAAACAATTACCGTAAAAATGACGTTTTTAGCAAAAAATGAAATTCACTTGAAGGAAGCACCCATATTGAAGTGTCACATTATCGACACAAATAATCAAGCTACGATCGTAGCAGAATTTCCATTAACCGTTTCCCTTCTAGCTTATTATAACAGGTATAAAATCAATTTAATCCTCTAAAAGCCAATTTTATGGGACATTATAGAAAATTAAAAAAAAATATTCAAAGAAAATCTCTATACAATTTTGTACTTAATTTTTGTTTATTATTTTTTTCTCGAACAGATTCAATTTAAATCCTTATCCTGAAATAAATTTTGGTACAATCCCGATTTCCTCTAAGAAGATCATGTATCTTGATATCGAAAATACAGGTGGCTTTACGTTCAGTTATTCGATTCAAATTCCACCAAAATCAATTTTTTTTACTGAAAACGTGAGAAAAGAAGAAAAAACGTCGAAGAGAAAAAATACAGGAAGAGATACAGAAATTGTCAGCAAACGGGATAAAAAATCGGATAAAAGGTAATATACAAAAAAAGAACAACTATTTAGATATATAAAGAAAATAAAAGGAAACAGAATTTCTTAAAATATTGTTATATTCTTAACAGAGAAGTGAATATTAATAAAACGTTGAATATCGGTCCGTTTGTTTTAACGAAATTCGAAGGTGAAATCGAGGCCGGTCAAATCGATACGATAACCATCGAATGTTATCCGGAAATTGTTGGTTCTCAGGAAGAACAAATTATCGTTTTTGTTCCGGATACAGTTATGGAATACTCGAATGGGAAAAAAGTAACTTTGTGTGTTGATTCTTGCATTCCAGTGATCGATTTCACCAATTTCGATCTTATGTTCCGAAACAATCACATTGTCGATAATATCGAAGATTTTGTTTGTCCTAAAGAGGTAAAATATTTTGTTTAATTAAATTTCAAAATATATAAATAAAAAATATCTATTATATAATCCACAAATATTATTTGAACATAAATTATTTTCTATATTTATCATTTTGTCATTCGATATTATTATTATATAATATCGAAAGATTTTTGTAGTTAAACGATGCTCGGAGATCAAATTTGTTGCAAATTAATTTGAAACAAAAAAATAATAATAAAATCATACTACAAATTGATATCATGTTCGAGTAAACATATTTTGTGTCTCTCTCAGTATCGTTTACAGATTATTTGAACATAAATTATTTTCTACCCTTGCCATTTTGTTATTTGATATCATTATTATCATTATTATTACTATTATTATTATTATTATTATTATTATTATTATATAACAGATCAGTGCTCATACGGTATTTGCGCGTCAACCAAAGTGCCTCCATTTTCGCCGTGTCACTATGTCAAGCACACACACGAGTTGTTTCGAACTACACAATAGAGGTATCGTACCTGCTGACATAGAAGTCAAAGCTTTCGTTAAAAGCCCTTCGAACGTGAAACCTACGACTTTCGTTGTGGAACCACAAAAGGAACGGATACCAGCTCATAGTCATAAAAGGATCAACATCTCTTTCGCTCCTGCATTGATTGATGTATTTTTTAAAATTATCTTCTTTTAATTATTTGTTTTTTTTTTGTCTTTTTTTTTTCAATTACTCTCTGCAATCAGATTAAAAAAAGAAGAATTATCTCATTTTATTCCAGACTTACCATGGCTATTTAGAAATTAAGTTGAACTTACCAAAACATTTAGACGAAGAAAAATTGATAATCGACTTAATCGGAGAAGCCTGTGTACCGGAAATCACAATAACGGAACCACCAGCAATCAGTGGTGTACGTGATGGACCAATCGTAAAATTTCATCGTACACTCGTTGAAGAAACGAGTATAGATAAATTTGCTTTTCAAAATATCGGATTGGTTCAAGCAAATGTTATCGTTGAAATTTACGATGATCCCAATACTATCTTCAGTTTCTCACCTACTACTGAAACTCAAATTCTTTTACGTAATAGTTCGGATTTTGTAGACGATGGTGGGAAATTCTTGAAATTGTATTTTATTTTCTCGATAAGAAATAATATTGAAATTCTCATTTCTTCTTGCCAACAGTTCGAGACAATCGTTACGTCGTTGTTCGTACGATGCCACAAGATGTTGCCAGTTTCGAAGTTAAGTTTTATCCGAAGGATATTGGAAAATATACTGCTCGTATACGACTTTTTGTTGTCGACAATCCTTATGATAATTTAATAATAAATCTCGAAGGTGAAAGTTTCGTCGAATTAATCGTACTTCAAGATTTAGAACTTTTGAATTATAAATCCGACAATCGTCGAGAATTCAACAATTCGAAGAAACAAAAATTATCGTCTACGTTAAGTTGGTTAACAGGTGATGAGACACAATTGAAAGAAACACGATAAACAAATTTTGAAACAAATTAATCTTACAATTTAAATTTTAGATCCAATACCACCGGTATTTCTTTCCTATAAACTGGATTACGGTACTTGTCATATCAACAAAATGTATAAAAAGACATTCAAGATCATAAACAAATCTTTAAATCGATGCTTTCGTTTTCAATGGACCGAACATCCGAACGTTGTTTTCGTGCCATCGATTGGACATCTTCAACATTCAACGAGCAAACAAATTACCGCTACTTTGCTCGAATCCGAACCTAAGAAGCACGATGGTGTAAGTTTTGTTGAAAATAGAAAATTGAACTTGTATATAATGAAATAAAAAAAAAAATAAGGGAATATTGGAAACAATAAAATAAAAAACGTGACAATATTAAATTCAGACAAAACTCGAGTGTGTCGTTAACCAAATCGAAATGTCGAGCAACACGGGAGAAACTTCTTGGGACGATAGGCAAACCATCGTACAGTGGGAGAAAATCGATATTGCTGATAGTAATAAGGAGGACAGCTTATCGAAAAAGAGCGTGAAACCAACTATCGAGCCAGAACATATAGCAATACCTGGAACAACTAGGTGTATAATATTGTTAATGAATGCAGTTGTTGGATATTCGGAATATTTTTCTACAGCATCTGAGATCAATTTCAAAGACACTCTAATGTTTCAAGTAAGAAGATAAATAAATATATGTTTTATCAGTAAACCCTTCGGCCCTTATCATTTCCATAGAAACGGGAATACACGTTTACCTTATCAAATCCAAGCAATGTTAATACGGATTACGTATGGGTTATAAATATGGATGAGGAATATCCAAAACGTATCTCTGGTAGTACGGTACGCCTAAACGAAAAATCAAGATCACGTAAATCTCGCTCTCGACCAGGTTCTAGATCATCACGTGGTGTTCTTTACCCAGCCGAAGAGAACGATAACGATAATTTACGTTTACATCGTTGTAAACCACTTTCTAGTCACGGTAAGCTAAAAAGGGATTTCTCCATAAAAATTGTGGTTCTCGTTGGTTGACTAGAAACCATGTAAAGATCTTGATCGGTTTCAACAAAAAAATGATGACCCTTTTCTCTGTGTAGAACCTTTTTTAGATATTAAACCACATTCATGTAATTCCAAAGGATCGGATCTTTATAGCAGCACAGCTTGTCTGACGGATCGAAGTACCGACAGTTGGCTCGAAGGCGAGGATCTCCCGTTCAAGATAGTTCCTGAAACTGGAACGATGCTGCCAGGAGAATCTGTAGAATGTATTCTGACATTTTCCCCTAGAGATGTATTCGATTACATGGCCTATCTTAACTGCAAGTATGTTTTTAAAGATCATTGATCTATCTTATTATACTCACATAATCTTAATATATTCTACGTGTATGATTACAAGTTTTTGTATCTGATTCTGTAAAATAATAAACGATTCAGTCTATCAGACTGCTAAAATTTGAATATTATAAAAACTTAAGCAACGGTGCAATTAAAAAACAGTAAAAATATTGTTTAAAAAGGCTGATCTATATCATAATATACTAAAAAAATAAATATATTTTTAATTATATGAGGTTTATAATAATATTTTTGACATTGCAGGATAAATAATCTTAATCCAAAATTAAAAGAATTGGTGATACCTGTCAAAGCAAGAAGCGTCCTTCCTTATTGTCACTTCGATGTACCTGAAAGTGATTACATAATTAGTGGCAAACGTGATCAACGATTACCAGGACCTATTGGATATTCAATGATTGATACGATAGTAGAAAACATCAGAGTAATTGAATTAAACGTCATTGGTGTTGGTAATGTTCACACAAAGTAAGAAAATAATTTACTACACGCTAATATTTAATTTAAATATCAAATAATATTAGAATTTCGTTTTCAGAAAATTTCCTATGATTAATCCTACGGCAGATAATTATCATTTTTCTTGGAAGGATCACACTCCTTGTTCCATTAACGAAATTTCCAATTTTCAATGTTTAACATGCGAAGGAATTGCAGAACGTGGAAAACAAACTGAAATGGTTTTCACATTTTTATCAACCGACGTTGGCATTTTTGAATCATTTTGGATGTTCTCGATAGAACAATACGATCTTAAATGTCTGTTTCTTTTTGTTGCAATTGTTAAAGAACCTGTAATTTACTGTACGAGTCTTCATTTAAAAATGAAGCCTACTGTTCTAGGTCTGATACATACACATAAACTTTCTTGTAGCACAGTGTGAATATTTTATATAATTTATTTTTATTAAACAGATCTCGAAGTACAAGATTCCGTAAGTATAATTAATCAAGAAGATTTTAATATTTCTTTTAAAATATCGGAAGAAAGTCTTTACTCCGAAGGACATTATCAAAATATTACTGTAACACCCATGAATGGTGTTCTTAAAGCAAATGACCAGCAAACATTTTGGTAAAAAAAAAATGTTGTTAATAATTTTTACATATATTTATAAATCATAAAACCTTGTAGGATAAATTATAAACCAACATTAGTAGGAGAGTTTCAATTTACCGTACAATGTATTCTGAAATTTTTGAGAAATCCACTTTCATTTATCGTAACCACCATAACTTACAACATAATGCCTTGCGTCATTTACACTAACACGAAGGGAGAGGATATCAAATTGTTGGATCATCAAGACAATATTGTTGATTTTGGCAAAGTAAAACAAAAATAGGTCATGAATATATGAGAAAATCAAAATAATTTGCTAATATCTTTAATTTTAATACAGGTAGTACCCAAAAAATCTAATGTCATCAATTTCAAAATAATCAATTCAGGTAACGTAACATTTTATTACATCTGGGATGTTGGTATGACAGCAGAGATCATAAGTATGAATGCATACACAATTTCCATCCCTCAAAAGAAAGGTCACGTTACAAGCGAATCTCACGCAACTTGTTGTCTCACTTTGATAGCTAAAAGAAAAATGTTCATAAAGAATCATAGTGTTACCTTAAAGGTAACTATTTTCATTCGATATAATATTAATGAAATTGACTTAAAATATTGTTCCGATTTTTCTATTATTATTTAAACAGATTTTAAAAGGTCCAACATATCACTTGATCTTAAAAGCAATAGTTAATAAATCTCCTATAGAATTGAGCTTTCGTCGTTACGATTTTGGTCCCTGTTACGTGGGAGAACTTGATTCGTCCCCTTATCGAACCGAATTGCGCGTGAGCAATGGCGAGAACAAGCCCTTAGTGTGAGAACATCGATTTCCTTGATAACGATATTACACTCTTCTCTAACACACATCGATCAATGAATTTTCTACCCCATAGATTGGAATGCAAGTTCGAGGAACGGCCACATATGTCGCTTAACCTGAATGGATTATCTCAAGCACTAGCTGTTAAATCCAGCATCAGTATTCCTATCATTTTTCGACCATTACAGGAAACGAAGTACGAAGAAACCTTAACGTTTTTGATCAATTCTACTATAGAAGAAAATGTTAAGATCATTGGCGAAGGAATCATTTACAAAGTAATTTCTCAAAAACAGCAAATATCTACCAACAAATCTTAACATTTTAAATGTCAAAGTTGAATTTTGTTCTAATAAATAGATTCGTCTAGTTAATCCACGTGATAAAATAATCGAATTGGGTAACCTGCCTGTACATAAGACACTGATAAAAAAAGTACCGGTGATTAATGAGGGTCGAGCATCGGTTGATTTGAAATTCGATTTAATAAGCAATCTATCACGAGACAAAAGATACTTGCAAAAAGTACCTCCTATCTGTATCGCAAAATCGTTTGATGAAATTACCAAACCTCAAGAACTTGTATCCCTGTTAGAAACCAAGGGATCTAATACAGATATCTTAAATCTTAGAATGGACGCGGTGTATGCTACTCAAGCTTTGACTATTGAACCTTCCGAATTAACGCGAATTCGACCTAACGAGAAAATAGATTTGACGATAAAATTCAAAGCAAAGTCTAGGATGAAAATGTTTACTGAGAAAGTTGGAGCCGCAGTTGACTCGACCCTTTTATCTCTTTTTATCCTTCGTGGTAGTTGTATAGGACCAGAATTTTGTTTAAACAAAACATATATCGCTTTTGGTACCGTTGTTCATGGTTGTATTGGAGAATCTGGATTGGTTTTAATGAACACCGGTGACATCGGTGCAAAGTATGTTACCTAGAACAAACTAATATTAAACGCGATTATATAAATGTTGTTAAACTTCGTCAAGGTTTACATGGGATTTGTCAAATCTACCGTTAGATTTTACTATTTCACCTAAATCCGGCTACTCTTCTCCTGGTACGAACGTTCATTTTATCGTCAAGTTTGAACCGATTCGGGAAGGAAATGTAATTGAAGGATACGTGAGTTTAATTATATCTGTCGTTAATAGTACAGGGTTTGATCATAAGTCAGATACTATCAGCAGTTATTCACCTCTTTAACTAGAGCAGTAGATAATTTACTTGAACGGTAGCTATTTGAAGCAATATTTGTTCAGTGTTTCTTTCTTACATTAAATGTTATCTTTATAACTTAATATTTATAAATTACATTTTTTTAAAAATTCTACATTTTTTTGTTAACTGAATTATGAATCACCCTATATGAATAGGGTAGTTTGCATAACTATCGCAACGATATTTCATACACTTCCGGTTATAATATTAATGATAGTAGTGTTAGCGATGTTGACAAATTTGTTAAAGATAAGATCATGGCACAACCACTATGCAAATTATCCTGCATATACTGTCCATTTTAATATACACTTAATATATTCCAAGAATACGCTTCAGGCAACAAACGTGATAGAAAAGTACGACTCAATAAAAATAAAAATAAGTGGTGCTTGTACCAAATTACCGGATCCAATTGAAACCTTATCTTTTACGACGATCGTTCGTTCGAAACAATCCAAATCCTTAAATGTCTTTAATGACAGTATATTGCCGTGGAAATTAAAACCAGAAATATCTGGAGAATATTTTTACGTTGACAATATTCTCAATATCCCTCCGGAAGAGTCTACTTCCTGTATTGTGACTTATCAACCACTTGTTATGAATAGTGAAGACAATCTTCATAAGGTAAAAGAACGTGCTACTTTAGTTGGATAAAAATAGAATGAACGATAATCAACTGTGCAATGTAAATATGAACTATTTTCTATAAATTAATATAATAATGTGTGTGTGTGTGTAGATATTTAAAATTAATATTAAACAAAAAATATTGTAGAGAACATTGTTAAAAAAACAAAGTATTTGTATTATACATTTTGCATATACTTAGTTTTTAAAAATATACATTTACTTATTGACAGTAAATTATTTTCTACAAATTAAAATAACATTAATAATAATAAATGAATGAAATAATTAACAAAAATAAATATTTTAGGGAACATTATTGTTAAAATTACCAGACAATAAAGATCCTTTAGTATACTCTTTACGTGGACACAGTTTGCCACCACAAGCTATAACTACAATCATACGTCAGTTTCCTGCAAAAATGAGATATACAGAATTATTACCCGTGCATAATTGGATGAACAGACATCAACGATTCAAATGTATCATAGAAAACATAGAAGAAAAGAAATTGTCTTTAAAAGAATCTAATAATATTCCAATGTACAGTTTTACTGGTAATAATAATATCGATGTACCAGCAAATAATCAACGTGATTATCGTGCTATTTTTCATTGTTATAAAGAATCATACTTCCAGTTCAAGGTAACATCGAGAGAATATAATTAATGTAGACTCACCTAAATCTTATTTTATTATTATACAAATATTATTTTGTTGTTTTAATAGATCACATTTATTAACGAAGATGGTGAATATCAATATTATGAAATACAATACACCGTAACAAAACCGGAAGTGATCGAATCTATCAAATTAATCACAAACGTACGTTCATCGATATGTCACACATTACAACTTCATAATCCATTAAAGGAAATTCCTGTATCTTTTACAATTAATTGTCAACATCCAGGAATCACGATTTATGACGTTCCTACAACTGTCCCACCGTTGTCGAGTGTTAGTTAATATATTGATCACATGATATTATAGATAAATTTATTTGAATCAAAATTTAATTGATTTAATTGTCATTTCGATAAAATATTAGGAATTTATTACAATCAATTATAATCCGATATTAACGTCCGAAGAAATGATTGAAAAATTAGATATAAATTGTCCAGAACTTGGACATTTTCCATACGAATTACGATTAACTGCTTTACCTCCAGCTACAGAGAAAACTACGCATGTAACAGCGATGTTAGGAAATTCTATTAAATTTGCACTTCCTATAAAAAATGTTACTTCGAAAAAAGCTGACTTTGTCATCGAAGTTAGTTAAATTTAAACCCAAACAAAAATATTATTTTATGATAAAAATTTTATACAATTTTTGAAATATTTAATGTAGGTAAACAACAATAGTTTTATTTGTCCAAAAAAGATTGATATAGAAGGATTAGGACAAGGTTCGATCAATGTTATTTACGAGCCACATGATATCGAAAATAGTACGGCCACTTTGACAGCCACTTCAAAATTGGCGGGCATTTTCACGTAAGAAATGGCGGGAAAGGCGTATAATTCAATTTGGATAAAATGAATATTGCATCATAATCATTATCTGTCATCTCTTTTTAATCAGATATCCCATAATTGGAACTTATTTGTTGCCTAAACCACAAGGCCCATACACCATAACATTAAAATCACCAGTTTCCATTAAATTTAAAAATATTTTCAAAAAAACAAAAACGTTTGAATTCCTCACTAACGATTCATTAGATTTCGAGACTAAACCAACATCTGAAGAAATTAACCCAAAACAAGTTAGTATTATAATCTTTGAAATAATATTAACGTTTATTAAATAAATGTACTATTTTAAGGAAATTACTATCGTCGTTAATTTACGACAAACGAATGACTCCGAAAATGAATCTTGCGAAAAGTATCCAGTAACAGGTAAACTATCTGTATTTTGCACAGATCCTAGACTATCTCATGTCGTTTGGATATATTATTTAAGAGGAATTATAGAATAAATAAAATATAATATATATCTTTTAATAATGTATTTGTTAAAAACAATTATTTTATTTCTATTTATTTGATAAATATTTAGTAATTTGTTGTTAATATTCTAAATAGATATAAATATATATTTTATTATAAATACTGAGCATTTATTTAAAAATATTTTCAGAATAAATAAAAGTCTTTTTTATGATAAAAATTATTACATATCAATAATTATATACCACAGTTTAGACAAATTTTATTTAAAAAAAAAATGACTCCCTCGGTAAGTTAGGAAATTTTGAAAGGTTATCACCTTAAACATATGCGAAGCATGATGAATACATATAAAGCGGCAAGTTTAAACCTGACTGGTTTTAATTCCTGATATTACAGCGACACTGGTCAGTCGGTGAGAAGGAGAATGATTTCCTTTTGAGAGCCGCGCGTGCTCCGATTTCAAGCTGTCTTCGTATCCGTAATGGTGGACATTCGATTAGTAAACACGATTATAAATTACGTCATTAGACCTCGAGTCTTTGAATTTGTCAGCACAATTAAATTTCTTAAAACGTTGCTTTATTTATTAAATGCTTCGATAATTCATTTCAAAGTTAGTGATGACATTATCTTAACCTCAAATTCCAAGTTTCAATTGAAGGATGTAGTAGCCAGGAGTGGAATCAGTTAGATCTTACAGCATTTCGATGTGTTATTTAGAAAATGCTCTCTTCATTATAGAGACTATTTTATCAAAATACGGATTGAAGATACATTTGAAATTAAACGTAAATCATCTTGTTTAACCTTGACCAACCCTTCATCAATGGAGTTTAGGAAACCTCTTAGTACGTTCGAGGAATTCGACGACTCTTAGTAGTCAATTATTATTAATTTAAGGTCCTTGAAGACAGGATGGCTGAAAAAACGACAAAAATGGTAACGAGGTTTCATCCAACTCATGGGGAGAACATCATACTACGTGATGATAGTACAGTTGCTTATCGCTCAGCAAGCTTTGCTAATTCTCTAGCATTCAGTGAAAAGCCATTACAACCTGGTGAAATTTTCCTAGTTGAAATAGAGAAAACTGAAAGCGGTTGGAGCGGTCACATGCGTCTTGGTTTGACTTTAATTGATCCAGCCTCTGTTAAAAACAGTCTGCCACAATATGGCATGCCTAATCTTGTTAAACTAGGCAATACCTGGATCTTCGCTATTACCAAAAGTTACAATATTTGGGATAGCTTTGAAGGTATCGCTGGAACTGGCTATGGTGAGAAACAATTAACTTTTATTATCCTTAGACTATCTTTGTAAGTAATTTTATATTTTATATTGTATAAGGTGAAGGTATTCCTATGAGAGAGAAAAAACTAATCACTGATGGAGTAAAAGTTCAAACATCTCGTGGTGTTATACCATATAATGCTCTTCGACCCAACGCTATTGGATCCCATTATATTTTGCCTACCGATGCTGGTAGTCGTATTGGAATTATGTACGTACCACAAACTGGATCAGATACTGCTGAAATGCATTTTATTATTAACGGAGAAGATCAAGGAATATGTAGTAAGGATATACCTTACAAAGCTGGACCATTACGTGCTGTAGTAGATGTTTATGGTACTACGAAACAAGTGAGAATAGTGCAACTATACGGTGGTATACATTATTCCCTTATTTTCTATATTATTCTCTTTTTAACCTATTTTTAACTTATAATTTATAAAAATATATTTTAATGCAGTGTCAACATTACAAAGCGCCTGTAGAGATGCTATTTTGCAATATACCAAAAGGAACGCAGTAGATTCTCTTCCACTTCCTCGGATATTAAAGGATTATTTACTTTACCAGTCGCAGTGAGAGTTATAACATTCCATTCTATTTTATTTCCTTTTCATTTCTTCTTTTTTTTTATCTTCATATATCAACTGCCATTTCGTTTTTTCTTCTTTTTCTATATCACTTTAGGGATTTGTTTTTCTTTTCCTTTTTTTTTTTTTGCATTTATTTTTGTATTAACTATTTCTATATTGTTATATTATAAAGTCATACATAAATAATATGTCATGAAAAAATTTGTACATCTTTCCATTATTATTATGATTATTATTTAGATAAAGAATGTTTTCATAAAAAAAATCATATTAATATTTGTATATGAGAGTGCATTGAAATAACATTCGCATCTAGTATGTAAGTTATCTCCTTCCAATAATATTATTATTGCTCAATTCGCGAGTGTAAATAATGTAAGAAAATATTGTTAAAAAAAAAAAGGAAAAAGAGGAAGAAGAAGAAACGCGACACTTAAAAAAAAATCAAATAAACCGAAGGCTATTTCTTATTATAAGGCCTTCTCATTCTATTTGAAAATTATTACTATAATTACTATATAATAATAAAATCTATTATTTAACATGACTTTAAATTGAGAACAAAATGAATCTACAATAAGACATGCCCAATGATACTCTATGCGCAAGATTTAATATTTCTTATTAATATCATAATTTGATATAAAAAAAAATCATGAAGTAGAAGCAATTATATTGATGAAAATTTTTGGTAGCAATCAACGTATGACTACAGTGAGAATGACTGTATGAATGCATAAAAATCTTTCAAGATCTGAGATGTTTTTCAAAATAAATGTATTTATAACTAAACATTTTTATTCATTCAAATAACACTCTTTCTTTTTTTTATTTGTTTGTTTATTTGTTTCTCCAATGAAAATAAAAAAAGATATTTCATTACTCATAATTTAATATATTATTTAACTGTATCAAGATTGTGAAATATAATATTGTAGAATATAATTTTTTAGTAGATCAAATCATCAGTAATCTACCAATTGTAAATTCATTAAAAAGTAAATAATCAGATGAGATCTTAAATATTATTTCCAGAAGATTCGGTTGGAAAATATATGCTAATCAAAATGATGTAAGCAAGAAAAATGCAAAGAAAATTTATCCAACTGATAAGCATCACAACGTGTTTCCAAGATACTTCATTTTTCTTAAGATTTACAAGATTAGTATTATCTTCGGCTTTGATTTCCAATTCAGCGGATGCTTTAGGATCTAAAATGCTAATAAGAAGAATCCGTCCTATTTTACTCTTAACAATTGTAGAAATTCTCATTGAGATCCATGTAGGAGTCTCTGTAGTTAATTCTAATAAACGTCGTAAAATACTTGTCATGATAAGAGTAAAACATGCTAAAGCAAATGACTTTTCATAAAGTTGCACTGTGAAAAAATAAAAATGAACAAAATAAATCGATCTATAAATTTGTCGATTAAAAACAAAATTATTTGTATATAAATGAATACGAAAAAATACTCACGTAACATCGCAGATGCAATAGCAATTCCAGGCATATCCCAAAGAAAAATTTCTGGATATAACAAATGACAAATGAAATTTAAATTAGCAAGTACTATTCGTTCAGTAGATTTTGGATCCATCCATAGAGTCGTCAGCGTCATTATTATTAATACTAAAAATAAAAAAAAAAAATAAAAAATTAAATCTATCAACGTAAATCAAATTTTTACCGCCATTACGCATGTGTCGCCATCTTGTTCCCGCTCTTTCTTGGAAATTCGAATTAATTTTCGCAACATGTACGATATATTTGTGTAATAATTTTTTATCTTATATAAAAAAAATATAATAATTTATATAATTTATTAATGAAAAGTATTAACAAAAATTTTACTTACTGATAATTAATAATACGTGAATAGCACGGACAGCGTTATAATGTCGTTTCAAGATAAAATTAAAAGAAATTATTTGAGATGTCATATTCATCCCAAATTTGGAAGGTTCCACGTGGGTAGTAACGTTAGTTTGTACCACATTCCATTCCGTATTTTTTTGAAATTCGTTCATAATATTCTATAAAATATAATTAAAAGAAAATATAAAATATTTAAATAAAATATTTAATCAAATATTTCGTACTCCGGTTTCATGAAGATCAATCTCCTCGTTAGAATAGGACCAGGAACCAATTTGAACGGTACAATTTTGTACGTCGTAAGGCCACCAGGTATAATCCTTAAGACATCTTACTGAAAACTTAGTTGTAAATACACATTTGACTCTACCTGTGTTGGTTAACCAACAATTGTCAAATGGTATTTCGTGTACTTCACTATCCGCAAGATTAAAAAAAAACAAATAAAATGTAAATAAAAATAAATATATATAATCTAAAACGATAAAACTATGGCATATATTAAAATCAACCTACGAGTTGTGCACCATGATATCCGGTGTCCATAATTCTCTACTTATTACGTGAAGGAATTTAACATCGTTAAATTGTGACGGTTCCCAAGTAAGATGGTCATCATACCACATCTTACATACAAATATACAAAAAATAATATTAAAACAAAAAAATATAGAAATGTATATAAATACATAAAATATATTATTTTACTCACGATTATTGCCCAACAATGTAATTCCACGTAATCGGCAAACTCATTCTAACAAAAAATATTAACGAAATAAAAGAAGAAAAAAAACAAATATGTTTATTAAATAAAAATCAGAATGTGATGCTTACATTGGTGATAAATTTCGGCAAAAGTCCGAAATAGACAGACGTCTTTGTTTTATGATCTGACACCGGTCTGATACTTTCAACATACTGGCAAAAAAGATGTCTCCTTAATTGAAGAGTCGGAGTCTTTGCTTCGATTTCTTTACATCCTATGCTTTCCTCTATCTCTATCTCGTCATCGTGTAAAGAAAAGACTGCATCACCAAAAGTAATATATCCAATTAATATCAGAGCAAACAAAATAATGTTTACTTCGTTGAACATCATCGTGAGTGATGACAATTAAAACATCCGTACTTAACAACTGAACTGTTTACACGTTAAAATTAAAAAAAACGACGGTACGCCCAATGTAATATAAGAATGCACAGATTAACGACCGCCCACCAGAAATCATATTCT